CGTTTTGAACAACAAACACCAATACCAAATAAATGGATTTATCAAATAAAGATAATATTTTTCACAATTTTGTGGAGTATTTTTTTCTTTTTGCTCCGCTATTTTACCTGCTCAACGTCCATTTCTTCTTTCTTCCATTTGCAGTTGTTGTACCTGTGGCTCTATTTATTTTTGGAACTCTGTCTATATTTCTGATTATATGTATATATATATGTGATTAAAAATCAGGTAGATTCTTGTAATAATTCAGTCGGCAGAGGATGCAGGACCATTACGTACAGTTAGCCCCACTCATAATTACGCACGAGACTTCCCCCGTGAAGTGAAGGACCAACTTGACAAAGCTCCCAGGTCCCAGCACAGGCAGATTGTCTCTTCTTTTGGTCCACATGCAAACTCCAAATTTAGGTAAATTGTTAAGGATAATTCAAAACACAATGCAAACACCCGACTGCTTACCTCCTTACAAATTACGGTTAGATATATGTGTAAAAATAATTTATCAAAAATATAAAAAGAAAAATTTCTACAAGCATATACATATTATCATTGGCAAGAATATAGGTGTTCCTACTTACAAGGGAAGTATTTTTTTCAATTGTTAGTCTCATCGATAAATGTACCTATTCCTTTGTGGGGTACCTACTTCATGTTTTTGTTAAATATTAGCGTAAATAACAAAAAGATAGCGTATAGAAAAATAAATATGATGATATTGAAGTAAGAAAAAAAAAAGAGTTGCAAGCAGAAAAAGGCCAACTTTTTTTATTTTATGTGCTGAAGACTTAAATTCATCCTAATCTTATATTTTATTTGAGGTCCGATTCTTTAATAACACTCAGAAAGTCATATTCATTCTTATTTGTGAAATCTGTACATGCACAAAATCATATAAACTATTATAGATTAAATGACCAGCATCAAAATAAGGTAAACTTTATTGTGGTTCCAATCTACTTGGATATAGCTCAAAGCTATATAGAACTGTTGAACTTGAAGCCCTAGAATTGGGCGCAGATGCTCATACACTTGGCACCTTCACAAACCCTAATACATTTATCACCGTTGGTGTTCGATATCGGGGGTGTGCATTGAAGAGTTTTCTTGCAAGGAATGGTCCAGCAACCCACAATCACGATGACGGCAAAGATTATAAATATACCCATGCAAAGTACAAAGTAGAACTCACGTAGATGATTTGTAACAACGGGAATGACCCTCCTTCTATGCCTTCCTTCCGGTTCATCCTTAATTTCTACGGTCGTAGGATGTTGAGAAGCAACCTCTGGATGTTGAATCTTTGTCGTATCCCAGTAGGTTAATATTTTAGTTTTGAGCCTTTGATCTGAAGGTGAAGTTTCTAGCTTGCTCAGATCACTTTCCAATTCAATGAGCTCCCTCTTGGTTTGGTGTCTCTGCATGACGCTTCTTTTATAATTGCTTCCAATTACAAGCAATGAAACCAAGTTGAGTATGGCTGCTATCAGAGAGAGGCTGAAAAGGAACCAGCGATCTGAGCATCTGAGAGCTGTGGTGGCAGTGACGATAGCCCCCAAAATAATTCCTTGAAAGACGAAGTAGTAGTTTGCAAGGTTGAAGGCGCTCGTTTGAAGTTGATGTACTTTATCATCCTGCTTCTCAATGGTAGTTAGCAACTCCTGTTTTCTTTTCTCCATGTTTTCTCTCTTTTCTTTGTCACCATTTGGTGGACATTGATGGTTAGCCATATTCAAACTATAAGAGAGCTAAAGATAAGAATGCAAGGAGTCTTAGAGTAATTAAATTTCCCTCCTCCTCCATACAACTTATATACACAGAGATACTTGTTGGCTTTTTGAATCAGCCAATACACTCTCACTGACCCTCCCACTCTGCTCCACACGTTATTATACAAGATACACAACAAAAGACAATGGGATCAGGGACGGACCCAACATTTCAAAATGGAGTGGACTAGATTTACCTTATTGAACTGTTAGATTTTAGGCTCGGCTAAACCCTTAAGGGAGGCTTATGGAATTGATCATAAATATATATAAATGTAATATGAGAACATATCATTTTTATTTTATTTGTTTAAAAGGCCTATTTTACACTAACAATGCCAGCAACTTTTCATCATATATGCTTAAACATTAACACTAACTATAAGAAAAGAAAAAAAACTAACCTGATAGCCCAGGTTGTACATAGCATAGGTCCGTCCCTGAATGGGATAGTACCATAGTGGAAATGTCTTAGGTAACCTAAGGCACGAGTGTGTGTGAATAACCTCCTTCCCTTCCTACATTCGACAGAAAAAAAAAATAAAAATAAAGGCATTATGTATTTTGTATTGATGATGTTGTGGACCGAATCAACCCAAAAAATAGAGGTAAAAACATAACGGAGGAAAGTGGCTCTATGTGCAAATACACGCCAGATCAACCCAAAAAACAGAGAAAAAAGATCGCGGAGGAAAGTTGCTCGCTTCTCAGTTCAAAAGTATGATCTCTTTTGGAAAAATTTACACCGTTGACTTTGCGTTACAGATCACCCACACACAAAGCTTGAGCATATATGCGTGGCTTAAATGAATCAAGGTTTGTTGCTCTGTAATTCAATTATTTCAAGCGTGTGTCTAGTGGAGGGACCCCTATTTTGTCTTCATGGATAATGGGCTGGTGATCTGGGGGTCTGAAAAATTTGAGATGCTCTTCTTTTTGGGATCGTCTCTTCCACCAGAGAAAATGTGTCACATTGGACTTTTGGTTCATATAGTTGACCCCACTGAACCAACAAATGCATAACCCAACTTCCAACGTCCGAATCATATGCTTGATTATCTCCACCAACAAGCAATGCAAGTGGTATGTATATATGCTTGATTAATTTCAAAGTAACAAATCATGTGTGTACATACCTTCTTTCCTCTGAAGAGCTTGATGTCTCCAACGATCAGAATCCACTGAATGACGATGGAACCGCCTGCGCTTCTGATGCAGTAGTTGGGACAGCTTATTCGCCATCTGAATCTCCTGCTGGACACTCCCTTTTAGCTCTAAACCCTCATTCGTCTAGTTCACAAGTTCAGTCTGACTAGAGAGCATGGAACCCATTTGCCTTGTTAGAGCATCCGCAATGATGCTCTCTATTTCTTAGCTAAAATTTAGCTAAAAATATAAGAAAGTTATTTTAGGAGCTCTCTAAAAAATTTCAACTCCAACCATACTCCCTAATTTGGAGAGTCATAAATGCTATAACTCTTTTTTGATTGGTCCATCTCTATTTAAAAATAAAATAAAAAATAGTTAGCATTAAATAAAGGTTTGAAATACTCATTAAATAAGGCAGCATTAAATTATAGGGAGCCACTAGGAGTCCTTTCTCTCTCCTCAGATTCATTAAATTATAGGGAGCCACTAGGAGTCCTTTCTCTCTCCTCGGATTTAGGAGTAAAACTCCATATTTTAGGAGGTGGATAGGGAGCATGGTTGGAGTTACATTTTTACAATACCTCCCTAAAATTTGTCTAAGGAGGTGATTTAGGGAGCCCATTATTGTAGATGCTCTTACTTCTTAAGCACAAGTGAGTGAGACTTATGAAACTTGTTGTGACTTTTGCGTTTTGGCTGTGAAATATCAAGAAGTTATTCAAATGCTTACTGCTACTGGCTTATGTTTGACTGATCTCCCACTGCCTTCACAACCATGTTTTTTAATGAATACTTGTTGTTTGTATTATAATCAACCGAGCACATTTGGCACCGGGGGACTGGCGCACAAACAAACTCACAGTCTGCCAAAGGTAAAATCCCAAAACACCGATGGTATAGGGATGCTGATGATGTTACTATATATTCAAACACATTCTTTGACATAAAGATTAAAATTAATAGTTGGATTTGGATCAAGAAAAATACAATAATCAATACTTTTAATAACCACTAGTCGATCTTCTGTCAAAATTGTTAGAGTTATATTAAGTATAGCTTAAGCAAAGTTTAAGACTTGAGATATCTTAGAATCCTCCTGACATACAATAATCAAAACAATAACTTCCCATTTCTATTTCAATTGCCATAAAATCTGGCCTACATAAAGGATAATATTTCCCTCCTTATGGTAAGGAGGAACTCCTCCTTACCTTCTGTTGACGTCTACAAATGTTGTTAGTGGCAACTTGTAGAGGAATTTTGTTTTTGTTTTTTTTTGTCAAAATGGTTGTTGAGAAATTAAGCTACGAGTTTAATAAAAGTGAAAAAGAAAAAAAAAGAAAAAAAGATGTTTTGACAATTCAAAAAGAGAGGACACGTGTCATTTTGTGGTTGAGCCACAATAGAAAGTAAAGAAGAATTCCTTATGGGTAAGGAGGGAAGTATTCTCCCCACATGAATTGCACAGAGAAATTAAACCAGTATGCAAAATGTCGAGATGGCAACTAAATAATTGGGCCCATCAATCAGCAACCCGATAAAAGAAGGCCTGGGCTCCAGCTCTCACGCGAAAGAAAGGGTCATCCGCGCGTTGTTTAGGATATGCTTTCCAATAGCTTCTATCTAGGTGGTGCCTCGTTTTGGTGAACATAGACAGCAGAACCAAGGCAATACTTCGTCTTTTGGGTGTCATTTTTTTAGTTTTTTTTTTAAGTACAAGCGATTGAGGGAGGGGATTTACACAAATATTTATTGGGTGTTTGGGGATTTCGAACCTCTATCCATGTGAATGAAGGTGTAAGAGCTCAACCAATTAAGCTATGTCCCACTAATTTTTGTGTCGTCTTTGACTATTATTATAGTAGTCGTTTTTTGTTTACTTATTTTTTGGGGAATAGTAGTAGTTTAAATATGTTGCATACGTTTATACCTATCAACATTTCCACATAGTGCGTACCCAAAAAATAAACAGATAGAGGAATATACATTCACAACAGAAGAATATTCAAATGTTCATTTTGGTACATTTGATAACACTTAATATTTTCGATTACATACAGTCACAATACTTTTACAAGCACAATTACAAATAATAATAATAATAATAATAATAAATTTATTATACAAACAATTACATAAAATTTATACTATCAATTATTCCTAGATTCTTAAGACGGTTAATCCTAGCACAATATTTGAATTCAGAATTTTCTGGTTATTTTATTTTTAAGAATTCAACTTTGAATTCAGTTTGATTTTATACCACATTTACTAATCACATCTCTTATACTAATTAAAAAGGTGACGGTAAATATGGTTTAGAAAGAATTTTTCAAAATAAATTTTAATGGATTAATTTGCACGACGACGACTTACTATGAGGCCAGCTATGACTGACTTCTTGGTTTGTGGCATCACTTGCTATTACAGAGGATGGATCGACAGGCCATTAAGATTAGAATGGTGTAAGCAAGAAGGGCAAAGAAAACCAAGTAAATGAAGGCATATCTCTGATACACTTTCACCATATCACACTGCAATTTATGCTGCTCCTGATTATGCATATTGGATTGCTCTGAGCAGCACACTTGTACCTCCTGATCATGAATAGTTTTCTGAATCTTGTAGTGAATCAGCTCTCGTTCCATGAAGTTCATGTCATAGTGGTACTGCGCCCGCTCCCATTTGCCAACAAATATTCGGAAGGTCATGGAAAATATGAGAGCGATCAGGGAGCAGAGGCAGAATGGAATCCACCAATGTTGGCAAGAGATGTTAGGGTTTTGAGAGATGGACAAGAAAATGAGAGCTTGGAAGAAAATATAAGCGATGACCAGCTTTATGGTCGTTGCTTCGAAGTATCTTACTCTTGCTTCTTGGTTTTCGTTGATGGAACCCAATTCCGTGAAGCTCTTGTTCAATTTCTCTAGTAAAGTACCCATTTTAGGTTTTAACGAGCGCAAAGCTGAAGTGAGGTTTTCCTTCAAGCTAGGGAGGAGATGTGTGACAAGAAAACCGGAGTATTTATAAAACTTTCTCTCGAGAAGGTTCCTTCGTTTTGCGTAAAGTCAGAAGTTTAGCATTCCTTGATGGAAACGTTTATTTTTTTTTAATATGCCGGGCAAGCTAATCTGACTTTTTCTTTCGAGAGACAGATGTATCCAAGAATTTATTTGTTTCATGACGGAATTTATATATTTGGAGCTAATGGGAAAAGAATTTCGAAGAAGGCAAAACACTGCCGTCTCCGAAATTTTACCAAAAAAAGAATTTGAAAATCAAACTTAGAAATGAACTGCAAAAATCATATAGATAAAAGAGATAAGGGTAGACCACGGGCTTTAACTTAAAAGAGGAGAAAATTTCTTGGCGGGAAATGAACAGAAGAGACCTGCTATATCCCATTGACTCATTGAGCTAGTTGTTTTTCATTTGCTTTAACTTCCACGAAAGAGATGTGTGAGCCAGGGTGTTTCTGGGTGTTTGGTAATTATGTGAAAGACTGACGGCCTTGATTGGCTTTAAAATAATGATAATTAACTACAAAAGTCAACTCTGTTCTCATTCTTTTTGCTGTTGAAAATATCAATCATTCCTTTCCCTTTCTCGAATGCCAAACGTGCACGGTTTTTAAATTCTACCTTTCAGCATCATCTTGTAAGCTCTTATATTCTTCCTTGTAATTTTCTTAATCATTGCTCATTTCAAATACCACTAATCTGCGGAATGTCTAATTAATTACTACTTCAAAATAATAACTATTTTCAAAAGAAAATCTTAGATCTGACAAGATTAGTGACGGACCTAGAATTTTTTTGAGAAAGGGGCAATCTTGTTATAAGATCTAAAGAAAATTGAATTCAAATGGCGGAACCAAAGCTTAGGGTTGTGTGAGTTGTACCATTTGAAAAACTAAGAACTTAGTATATACCCCAGATTGAAAAAGAAATAGAAAAAACACTTCACTCGTGAAAATAAAAATAAAAGTCTCTACTTTAAAAATAAAACTTAAGAATAAAAAATACCTCCAAAATCATCCTTAGCCTATAAAATCCAAATGCCATGAAAGGCTAACCCGAGTAC